CTCCTATGTACTGACGAAGCCTGGCAAATCGCCACGAGAAACGGCCGCCGAAATGGAAAAGGTGGAGTGGCAGACATGGGAGGAGAGCCACGTGGCTGGAGCCCTGCGGCGAGACGTCGAAACACCCTTCTCCCAAGCAAACAAGTGTGTTTCGGGTTCTCGCAGCTGCAAACGTTGTACGCTGACGTCCAGGTTCCCCGAGAAATGTCTCTTTGATACTCTGTGCTATCATATTTGCGACTGGGCACTCTATGGCTCCGTCGTCAAACTGCCAGGCTTTGTGAGTATAGAGGATGCTATGGCTGTGCCTGCTGACGGTCAACTCATGACGCTGGCAGGACGCTAACATCGGCCCCAGTGTACACCAAAAAGCGTTGGCCAGAGAGTCACTTGCCGCTTTTATGCCCAATTCACACAGGCGGTTGAACCGCAATCGCGAAGCGGTTGCGAACGTTGTTGCTTACATATTCAGTGCAGTTTCACGAAAATTTGATGATGAAACCGAGCGGATCCGGTTCGCTGTTGCGGTTCGAACGCCAGAGTGAATGCACATTAGTGACGGGCCGTGTGGTTTCCCGACCAGGAACATGGTAGTTGGCAGCGCCTGGCACCTTCTGCATACCGACTGTGGTACCAGCACAGCGATCTGTCGGCTGACCGTGATTCGCGTCGTGAGGATGAACGGGTCTGAGACATATCTCGCCTCTTTCGTCGGGAAGGAGTCTCATGCGACGGCCTCAAAGCATCAACAGCGCAGGATAGCTGTTCCATGATCGTTTCGGGTCTTGTAAGGGCTGTTTTCTAGAAGGGCGGTTTGTGGCGGTGTGATTGTCGCTATAGACGGTGGAGCGTACTCAGCGGAGCGGTCCGCGTGCATCGACAGACGGTCTAGCGGCATATCTTCCGCAGCTAACAAAACCCTGCGTATTCCTTGTTAAAGTTTCTGCTGGAATAGCTCTCCCAGAATCGGGTCCTGGGAGCCGGAGGCTTGGGGACCGAGCAACCGCATCATGTGGTGAAGAATTTGAGATTGGCGGCGGTCTCCAAGCTTCTGGGCTGTGAGCAGCTGCTGGATCCTCGTTCGCTCCGAAGCCGTCGTCTGCTCGAGGAGAATGCCCTTCAGGTGGTCGCAGGGGTCGTCAGAATTAGGCCGGTACAGAATGTCGTCCAGGCCATCGACGACGGCCAGAGGGAGGGAGTTGACGACATGGTAGAACCGAGAGAGCTGGGATGTTATACGATGAAGGTGAAACTGAGCCTCGACTTCCGTTATCCTGACTCGCGGATGTTTCAGCCAAAAGGGCGGAAGCCGGAGCTGGATGGCCGTGAGGGCAGCGCCGGGGGAACGAAAAGGCGCGCCGTCGCCGGCAGTAGCACTGCCTTGCGTCAGGTTCTGCATGCCGGTTCTGGACGTCGTAGGAGGCGGCGGGGACGTTCGGATTCCGGGTCACCAGACTGTGGTAAAGACGTCCAAACTCAACGGTATTCTGGCTCGAACTGTTCGTTTTTATTTTCTCGAACATCACAGGAGCTCACGCATGAAGCTTAGATAAAGAAGAAAATATTTTCTTTCATCTTTCGGAGCTTGCTCCTATAAAGGGGTATCCACACGAAGGAGAAATCCGCCCCTTTCCTCCGCGGAGCGCGCATCACGTGAGACATACGTCATTCCTTTTTGACGCCTCGCGGCGCCGTTCTCCTCCGTCGCGCATCACGTGAGACATACGTCATTCCTTCTTGACGCCTCGCGGCGCCGTTCTCCTCCGTCACGGAGGAGAACGGCGCCGCGAGGCGTCAAAAAGGAATGACGTATGTCTCACGTGATGCGCGCTCCGCGGAGGAAAGGGGCGGATTTCTCCTTCGTGTGGATACTCCATTAGCGGCGAGATGTTTTGGTCGCGCCCTCCTATGGTTTGCTCTCATGACGTCATTACCTGGTGAACAATAAGTTCAATCAAAGCCTCCTTATCGGTTGGTTCAATGGTGTGTGTAATAAGAATGGTGGAAGTTTGAAATCATTACATTCTCAATGCAACAATGCCAACACCATCCAAATTCAAGTTCACACTTTCCTCTTATTTCCGTCGATGAGAGATCCTTTGCTGACGTCATAGTAAGAATTCGACCCATCGTGGCAGGCCGCTGACAGCGACGCTTTCGATCGCGCACGCGCACGAGAATTATTAACACTCAAACATGTACACCAGTGAAAATGAATCACTCAATCAGCACTGACTGATAGCACTGACTTCGTCTTCTTCTTCACGCGTCTGCCACAATTGGTTATTCTGTTAACACAGAGGTTCGGGCGAGTTGGTTGCTCATGATGTACAGGGGGAACAGCGCACCCGGAGAACAGTCATTCAAATCAACATACGCACAAAAGAAAGAAACACTTACTCAGCGCTGACTGACAACTCTCTAGGGGGGATCGGTGGCCGAGTGGTCTAGCGCACACCAGCTCGGAGCACGTGGAGCGAAAGCTCGCGCTGCAGAACCCAGGGATCCTGGGTTCGAGCCCCGCCCCTGCCCGTTTCGATCTGGATGAGCATCGTACCGGCGTGCGGTCGTGTATCACTACTGCGTGATGCACGTTAAAGACCCCAGGCTAGCGGCTGTACCGCACTGGCTAAATTTCTCATCTACAGCTGGGAGACTCGTCGCCCCTGTGAGGCAGACCAAGTTCTAGGCTGTATAAACACACACACAACCCAATTTTTTTATTTTTGACAACTCTCTATATTTACACTTTCTCTTCTTCTATTTGTGCTATATGCAAGGGCCAGGGAGATTAACTGGTCTTTTTTCTTTTCTTTCGATATGATGCTAAATAGTGAACTAAATTGAAATTAATGTAAAGATAGGTAGTCTAATTCTTTTTGTGACAAGGTTAAAGACGGAGTACTAACGCATGTGCCGTTATGTTTCTCAATGTTCTCTGCCTCGATAATTTCTTTTGTGAGCTTGTTATGGTGCTTGCCAAGCACGCCGCAGTTACTCAGCTGCACTGAGCAGCCACAGTCTCGACAGTGAATGCCTAGATGACCGGAGCTTTTGTTGGTGAATGTGTTGCTATGCTCTCGAAGGCGATCGTTCAGACACCTTCCGGTTTGACCTATGTACAGCTTTCCACAAGAGAGGGGAAAGGAGTAGACCACCTTTTCTGTACAAGGGACAAAGGTGTTCTTGTGCTTCTTTTTGCAGCCAACTGTTGTTATTGGTGGAGTATTTACCTTCTTGCATAAGCTGTGAAGTTTGTTAGGAGCTGAGAAGATGACTTCCAAGTTTACTCGGTAAGCTATTTTCTTTAGTCCGTGAGAAAAATTATGAATATATGGCACAATGATGGGCTTCTTTGCTTTGTCTCTTTGCTTCTGTTGTGTGCATAGGTCTTGCCTGCTTTCGTTGATGAGCTTTTCGGCCACTGATGTTAAAAACGAGTTTGGGTATCCTGCGCGCTTTAGTCTTGAGACTTGCCCGTCAAAGCTCGCTGGAATGGAATGCGAGCAGGATTTTATGAGTGAGTTTTTGAGACATAACCGCGCGATGCTTCTTTTAAAAAGTTTTGAATGGGCCGAGTTGAATGGTAAGAGCGGTTTTTTCCCCTGGGCTCATACGACCAGCATAAATGGTAGGGTAACCTGAAGAGTCTGAGATCCAGGAATCTTAAAGAGCGCGCGTTTGGAAGTTCATGGGTGATTTCCAAAGGATTCAATGCACATTTTAAACTGTCGAGGACGTCAGCAACTATGCTGGTAAAGTTGCGATCGTCTGAAGCCAGAACAATTAAATAATCGTCGGCGTACCGGAACACTCTTATAACTTTGGAGCTGTCTAATGATTCTTTTATCTTCCTGTCGTTGTGCGCTAGATAGAGATCGCTAAGGACAGGGGCAATGCAGGACCCGATGCAGACACCTCTCTTCTGTAGGTATGGTTTGTAATCCCAGGTAGCAAAGGTCGACCTGAGGTAGATGTTAATCAAGGTCAAACACTTGCTTTGGGATAAGCCCGACTCATTTTGAAAGGCAATAGCACCGAAGGTGTCTATGCTGTCCTCTATGTACCTTAGGAGGCGGTCGTGGGGCAAGGAGTAGTACAGATCTTTAATGTCGATGGAGAACACCTTTAGGTCTTGGTCACGATGCTCTTCTAAAAATTTAAAAACTTCAGAGGAGCTGCGGATCAGGTATGGATCATCAATGTTGTCATGTCTGGGCGCGCGCCGCCGATAACAGAATATCGTAGTACGGCGCATGCGCCACTAAATAATAAAAAGTGGTGCTCCGCTGGCTACCGCCTTCTTTTGCTCAGTTACCCCCCATCCATGAGCATGGTGGAATAAACCTGTCGTTTTCGCCTTTGGAAACCTGCTTGTTCCTCGCTTCTGGCCGACACCCAACAACTGGCGACGAGGATGGGATAAGGACCGTCAGCCGAGAAAAGCAGGTGTTTCCGCAGGGGCGGACGTAGCATCGACAGCCATCATGAACGAAGAAGCCGGGACGCACTTCGCCGGTCGAATGGGTTATCTGTAACCGTTCGACGAGTCTTCCAGCGACTGGGCTTCTTACGACGAAAGGTTAACGTCGTTCCTGATCGTCAACGGAGTTCCAGAGAGCGACAAAGTTCACGCCTTCCTCAGCATCATCGGTCCGACGACTTACGCGTTACGATAGTCCCTGACTGCTCCGGAGCTGCCTTCAACGAAGAGCTTCGAGTACCTCAAGAAGGCCCTCGGCGACCACCTGTCACCCAAGCCGTCCATCATCGGTGAGCGAGCCAAGTTTCACCGGAGAGCGCAACATGAAGGCGAGTCCATTTCCGAGTACGTCGCCGAACTTCGAAAACTGTCGCAAACGTGCGACTATGGAAGCGTTTTGGACGAGTCACTCCGCGACCGCTTCGTGTGCGGATTATTAAGGGAAGACATACAGCGCGTGCTGTTCACGGAAGACTGCAAGCTAACGTTCCAGAAAGCGGTGGAACGCGCCCAAGCCATGGAAGCTGCGAAGCAAAACGCGGCTGAGGCTCGCGTCGGCAACTCAAGCGTCACTGACGTGCACAAGGTGCAAGCAGAGAATGAGAAGCAGAGGGACAGCTGCTATCGCTGCGGGTCGTCACGGCACCGCAGTCAAGAGTGCCATCATCGGCAGAGCGTATGCCACAAGTGCGGCAAGAAAGGTCACATCCAAAGGGTTTGCCGAAGCGGGACTGACGTAGGGGGCAAGAAACGTCCGCCAGGAGAAAGGGTAAAAACGCTGGAAGTTGAAGGAAGACTAGCCGTCGTACACGGCGTGTCTTCGCCCAGCCTTACCCCAGTGACGGTGCAGATGGTGATCAACGGATCTGCGGTTGAAATGGAACTAGACACAGGAGCAGCGGTAACTGTAATGTCTGCTAAACAGTTTCACCAGTCTTTTCCGTCTGTGAAACTGACGCCAACTGTAGTCAGGCTTCGCACCTACACGGGAGCCCTGGTTCGACTGCAAGGCGTTGCGACAGTCAATGTGCAACATGGTGAGGCGTCAGTACAGCTGACACTGTACGTACGTCGTCGATGGAGCCGGGCCGCCACTACTGGGCCGGGAGTGGCTTCGAACGATACGACTCGACTGGAACAAGATCTGGGAGCTGAATCACATCTCAAGGTCAGACGTTTTTGCTTCTAAACGTATAAAACAGAAGCTTGACTCTTTGCTGTCAAAGTACGAGCCACTGTTCAACGATGAGCTCGGAACTATAACTGAGGAACGAGCAGAACTTTTCTTCAAACCGAACGAGAAACCGAAATTTCTAAAAGCGAGAAACGTTCCGTTCGCGTTGCAAACGGCTGTTGAGGCGGAGTTGTCGAAAATGGAAAAGATGGGCATTATCACTCCGGTGACTACAGCAGAATACGCCACGCCTGTCGTGCCGGTTATCAGAAAGGACGGGGGCATTCGTCTTTGCGGCGATTATAAGACCACTGTCAACCCTTGTCTTGATATTGACCGTTATCCACTTCCAAAAGTTGATGATCTATTCGCGGCTCTATCAGGAGGCGAACTCTTTTCGAAGAAAGATCTTAACCAAGCTTATCAGCAGGTGGTGATGTCAGAGTCGTGAAAACGCTACCTCACGCTGAACACGCACAAGGGGCTGTTCATTGTAAACAGACTTCCTTTTGGAATCTCGTCAGCACACGAAATTTTTCAAAGAATAATGGACACCATGCTGAAAGGTTTGAGCGGCGTTTGTTGTTATCTAGATGACATTTTAGTCACGGGCAAGACTACGGAAGAACACATGGCCAACCTTGAAGCAGTGTTGAAGCGTCTGCTTGAACGAGGAGTTCGAGTCAAGAAAGAAAAATTTTCGTTTTTTCAGCCTGAACTTCGCTATCTAGGTCACAGGATCAGCGCTGACGGCATCTCGACGTCGTCTTACAAGGTGGAGGCGGTGCTCCAAACTCCCGAGCCCAAGGCAAAGCAGCAGCTCCAGTCTTTTTTGGGTGTCGTCAATTATTACGCCAAGTTCGTGCCCCATCTTGCAACGACAGCCCAACCGTTTTACAGATTGCTGCGCAAGGACGAGCCATGGTGTTGGGACCAGCTTTGCCAGGAAGCCTTCAACACCATCAAGGCCGAGCTGGCGTCGCCTCCCACCTTGGCCCACTACGACCCCGACAAACCGCTAAAGCTAGCGTGCGACGCCTCTCAGTACGGGGTAGGTGCTGTAATTTTTCACGTTTACGCAGATGGCAGCGCTAAACCCATCGCTTACGCTTCGCGTACGCTATCGAACGCTGAAAAAGGGTACAGTCAGCTCGAAAAAGAGGCACTAGCCATTATTTTTGGAGTTAAGAAATTCCACTCGTATCTTCATGGTCGGCTCTTCACTTTGGTCCCGGACCACAAACCACTCCAGACCATTTTAGGTTCAAAAACTGGAATTCCAACCATTGCCGCTGCGCGATTGCAGCGTTGGGCAGTCGCATTGTCGGCCTACACCTACGATCTTATCTTCAAGAGATCAAGCGAGAATGCCGAAGCAGATTTTTGCTCGCGTCTTCCACTACCGACTGTTGGAAACGAGACTAAAGAAAATGAGGAATCATTCTACTCATTGCGACTGCAATCACTGCCGGTATCTAGTGGTGATATAGCACGTGCAACAGCGCGAGATCCAGTTTTGTGCCAAGTGGAAGAATTCACAAGCGCAGGCTGGCCCGCGTCTGTCTCTGACGAAAAACTAAAGCCTTTCTTCGACAGACGCAACGAGTTGACCATTCATCAGGGCTGCATCATGCTCGGAATGCGAGTTGTCGTCCCAGGGAAACTGCAATCCCTGCTGCTGGGTGAACTTCACGAGGGCCATCCGGGTATTGTGCGCAGCAAGGAGCTCGCGCGCAGTTACGTTTGGTGGCCGGGCATCGAGGCGGACCTGGAGCGCAGCGTAAAAAACTGCGTAAGTTGTCAAGAGCAACGTAGTGCGCCTGCCAAGGCACCCCTCCATCCGTGGTCATGGCCCACAACGCCGTGGCAACGTGTTCACATAGACTTTGCTGGACCTTTTCTTCAGTCTATGTTCCTTGTTGTGGTAGATGCCCACTCCAAGTGGCCAGAAGTATTCATGATGCGCTCAACCACGACGGAGAGCACGATTAACACTTTGAGAGAACTTTTTTCTCGTTTTGGCAACCCTGAAACTATCGTGTCAGACAATGGTCCTCAGTTCACGTCGCGGGAGTTTAAACAGTTCACACAGGAAATTGGCTCTCGTCACGTCCTGACAGCTCCCTACCATCCAAGTTCAAATGGTTTAGCCGAACGCTTTGTACAGACCCTCAAGAACGCCCTCCGTAAAAACAAGGAGAGTGCGCCTTTGCATGTGAAGTTGCAGATGTTTCTGCAGAGCTACCGCAACACGGCTCACGCCACAACGAACGAGTCACCCGCCAATTTGTTTTTGGGGCGACGTTTACGCAGTCGCCCAGACGTTGTAAAGCCTTCTGTGGGGGAAAGGGTAGCCCGCAAACAGTTCATGCAGACTGCAAGCCGGCGTGGGCACGATCGTGACTTTGCCGTTGGTGATCATGTGCTCATCCGTAACTACTGTGGCAAACCCAAGTGGGTGCCTGGAGTGATTCTTGCGCAGCATGGCCCTGTTTCCTACCAAGTACGCGCCACCACCTCCAGAGGCAGCTTCACCTGGCGTCGGCACAAGGACCAGCTGCTAAGAACTCCAAGCCTTGCCGACGAGGACGCTGACCAGGAAGGCACAGAGTTCCTGTTGGTTCAACCAAGCGACAACGCACCCCAACCATCGTCCTCGTCACCTACTGGCGGAACTGTCCCAGCCGAAGCAGCACAAGCGCCTGCTGCCCGACGGTATCCGGCAAAAACCCGGAAACCTCCCGAAAGATTTCAAGCCGGATCTTAACCTTTTTGAGCGTGTCAAAATAAAGAGGGAGGAAATGTCATGTCTGGGCGCGCGCCGCCGATAACAGAATATCGTAGTACGGCGCATGCGCCACTAAATGATAAAAAGCGGTGCTCCGCTGGCTACCGCCTTCTTTTGCTCAGTTACCCCCCATCCATGAGCATGGTGGAATAAACCTGTCGTTTTCGCCTTTGGAAACTTGCTTGTTCCTCGCTTCTGGCCGACACACAACAAATGTTAAGTAGGTTTAGCCGTGTTTGCAGAAATAAGGCAACAGACTTTTGCCATGTCCCCCTTTCAGAAACGATAACACGGAGGGGGCAATCCGCTTTGTGAGTTTTGGCGCTGAAAAATAATTCTAGACTCAGATTTGTACTGCGATCGATGTAGGAGCAGAGTTGTTTTAAATCGTTCAAGTGACAAAATTGTTCTGCTTCCCTTTTAACTTTTTCCAGCGAGATCTCGGAGTGCTTGCTGAAAACGGATTCGACTGCTGTTAATGCTTTTTCTCCAAACGTGTCCGAATGCATGAGGACAAAACCTCCTTCTTTGTCAGCGGGCAGAAGATATAATGAATTCTCTTTCAGGTACGTTTCTACTCTCTTGATGGGCAGAGGAGTAGACGGTGGTTTGTACCGCATAAGCATGTCTACACCTTCAGAGGTGCAGCGATCCATTTCGGTCTCCGGAGCTCGTCTCGAGACTTCCCTTACAAGGGAAAGTAACTCCGGTGCCGTCTTCTTAGGTTCCACCGCAAACTTAGGGCCCAGACTGAGAACTTGCTGTACTGCATTTGGTATGTGGATGTCTCCTATTGTGCATACGGGGTTATTCAACGCCTATTCTTCCCTTCGTCTGTTCTTACGGAGATGCCACAAAGTGAGTTTCCACAGATGGGCGGTCGTTCTCTCTGTGCGGGAGGCGATTTCCCGCCTGGGCCTTCTGCTGAAGGTACTTGTCGGGTTTGTACGCAGCTGCACAAATAGGTAGTTCCGGTAGTGCCGTGTTTGACGATGCCACTCGGCTTGAAGGATTTTGCAAATTCGCTTTCCATGACCTACGGATGGTGTGACGTTTCCGAATAAGGCCTTGACCTCCGGAGGCAGCATGTGTACTCGTAGACAATACCCGTACTCCTTGCTTGACACACGCAGATGGCTATTAAGATGACCAGAACGTCGGGGCTCAAGGGGTGATGCTTAAAAGGGCCCGCTGTACTAGAAATGAAACTTGTTAACACAGAGGTTTGGGCGAGTTGGTTGCTCATGATGTACAAGGGGAACAGCGCACCCGGAGAGCAGTCATTCAAATCAAGATACACACAAAAGAAAGAAACACTTAGCGCTGACTGACAACTCTCTATATTTACACTTTCTCTTCTTCTATTTGTGCTATATGCAAGGGCCAGGGAGATTAACTGGTCTTTTTTCTTTTCTTTCGATATGATGCTAAATAGTGAACTAAATTGAAATTAATGTAAAGCTAGGTAGTCTACTTCTTTTTCTGGCAAGGTTAAAGACGGAGTACTAACGCATGTGCCGTTATGTTTCGCAATGTTCTCTGCCTCGATAATTTCTCTTGTGAGCTTGTTATGGTGCTCGCCAAGCACGCCGCAGTTACTCAGCTGCACTGAGCAGCCACAGTCTCGACAGTGAATGCCTAGATGACCGGAGCTTTTGTTGGTGAATGTGTTTTTATGCTCTCGAAGGCGATCGTTCAGACACCTTCCGGTTTGACCTATGTACAGCTTTCCACAAGAGAGGGGAAAGGAGTAGACCACCTTTTCTGTACAGGGGACAAAGGTGTTCTTGTGTTTCTTTTTGCAGCCAACTGTTGTTATTGGTGGAGTATTTACCTTCTTGCATAAGCTGTGAAGTTTGTTAGGAGCTGAGATGACTTCCAAGTTTACTCGGTAAGCTATTTTCTTTAGTCCGTGAGAAAAATTATGAATATATGGCACAATGATGGGCTTCTTTGCTTTGTCTCTTTGCTTTTGTTGTGTGCATAGGTCTTGCCTGCTTTCGTTGATGAGCTTTTCGGCCACTGATGTTAATAACGAGTTTGGGTATCCTGCACGCTTTACCGCCGAATTCATAGATGTCACTCCGAGTCATGCCAAGTGAAGGGCGACCCTTCACTTACAGAAGGGCGGTTGAAGGGGCACTTCCACTTGAAGTGAGGTTTACCATTCTGAAATGGCACTTCGCTTTCACTCGAGCAAGTGAAGGGAGCCCTTCTACGGGATGCGTCCGGGAGCGAGAGTAGAAAAGAAATTTATATTTATACTTTGCGTAAGACCACAAAAGTAAGTTAATTCTTAGTGTGTTTACATAATTTGTGTTTATAAAGAAATATTAGCACATAACAAACATGTTGCGATTTCAGAAACGAACGTAGCTCGTGCATCTTCTTTCAAACTAAATTGGCCAGCAATATAGCCATCAATATCCATGCTGAATACATTCCAAGTCCTTCCGATATCCTTGTTCCAACGCCACCACCGCCGTTGCCTTTTCGTGTTTACTTGCCCTGCTGGTTTGTTCTTTTAAAGTTTTCATTTCCGTAGCGTGTAATGGATAAGGCCAAGGCACCCGCTGCGCGGTTCACAGAGATCGAAAAGGCAATACTGATGGAACTTGTAATGACGTACAAAAAAATCATCGAATGTAAAAAGACCGACGAATCGTCGTTAAACAAAAAAAAGGCAACTTGGATTCGACTCTGCAACGAGTATAACTGCAACCACGGTGTATATCGACGGGACGTGAAACAGCTAAAAAAATGGTGGGAAAATGTGAAGGCCAAAGCGAAGAAGGACCATTCCAAAGAAAAAAACAAGGTCCACAAAACAGGCAAGTCTCTCGTTCAGGTTTCTCATCGCGCTGAAAGTGCCTCGGAATGAGCGATGGGTCACATTTGTAGCCCGAACTGTCGGTCACAAATTCGCCCTTGTTTCGAACTGTTGTTTCTGGAATACCTGTCATGGGGGATGGAGCGTGAACGTGCGCAGACAAGTCGGTTATGCAACCTAATGCTGTCAGTTGAATACCGTAGTAACCTGACAATGGAGCAGCATGAACGGAACCGCAGCACGATATAATACTACCGTTAAATCAGTAATTCTACTTGCAGTTTTTGCGGCGGACATGTACAGTAGATCACAACTGACAACACCCAGATGCTCAATATTTCATTTCATTACGCATGGGGCAGAGGGGATGAACATTCCCTATCAGCAAATGCATGCCTATAAATCGGGGTATATTTAAAAAGGAAAACAGATCTTAGATAACATTAGAACTTGGAGTGCCTAGATTGACTACTGTTTGCTCCTTTAGGAGGGGGGCCACCTGGCAAGCCAATGAGCGCCACCTCCGTGCTGGTTGGGGCGGTGGCCTCACACGTGTTCAACAGACAGGAAAATATGGAGGACAGCGATGGGGCACCCTATCTGCCCCCGGTCTGCAGCCTCCCAGTTCTCCGACTACTGCAGCCGATGCTGGACGGCGAGGAGGACCCTCTTGATGCCGACTTGGGTAGAATGCTTGAACCGTTTCCATGTCTTGACCTGTACTTTCTAAACTGGTACCTTTTCGTCTTTACCCACTGATCTTCTCATGGATATGCATGAATACGGTTATAGATCATAATGAGTCTGCCTTCAGAAATGTTTCACCTGGTGTTCCTCAGTAGTACATACTGGCACCCCTACGTTTTTTAATAATCATGAATGACCTTGCAGCAACCATCTCATCTAATATTAATCTTGTTGCAGATGACTGTGTCGTCAATAACAAAGTAAAAAGTGTGCATGACAACATTCAATTTCAAGATAATTTAGTAAAAATGAACAAATGGTGCGAACAGCATGTACATTACTTATGTACAAGGTAACATATATCATTGCAGGGCTGGGTTCCATACAGCTTCAAAACAGTACATGGCAACTACTGCAGACTAACAATGACCATACTCCCCTGACAAAGAAACAAACAGCACAGGGTATTAAAATAATCATAGCATGATTTCTGCCAAGAAATATCTATACCAAGCACTCCAAAAGGTGGAAACGGTTAAGTGATCTAGTGGCCTAGTTTATGGCACAGGTTCAAAATGGATGAAAACATTGTTACACATTAGATCAGCAGCAGAAAAAAAAAAATCAAATACTTCAAATTGCAACTGCATGAAAAACAAAAATACAATCTCAAACTTATAAAAACCCTTTCTACTCTTCATGTATGTCCCATTGTTCACTTCATAACTTCTACGTGTTCTTTCAATTGCAGAGGAGCCCGGTTCACCAGCTGGGCCTGCCTCAGACGTCGGTGCACCACTGTCACCAGCGGCTGCCTGCATCGCTGATAGACCTGCAGCAGCCCCAGCAGCTTGCCTGATTAGCCAGACATCTACTGCAGGGTCACCAGCTCCTACACCTGCGGCTGCTGCAGCGTGCAACAGTGGTAGTGCGGCAGCAGCTGTGGGCAGTGGTGCCCGCCAGGTCGGAGGACGTATGGCGCTGCTGGAAAGGAGCCTCGCAGAGGAAAACGATATGAGGATGGCCTTTGTCCAGCAGGAGCATGCCCTGCGCTGCAACTTCCTTGAACAGGACCACCGCGACGCACTCAGCAAGAGAGCTGCGCTGCATGAAATGGAAATTAAATTGCGCGAGGACGAGCTGAAAAAAAGAAATGCCATTCACGAAATGGAGATGAAGCTCCTGTGTATCAAGGAAAACATACTGCTGCAGGAGCTGAGCCAGAAGGCTGCACAATAAATCATGTTCAAACTGCTATGCCTGCTTTACTGATGGTTCACTTTTAAAGTCAAACTGAAGTATCACACACTTGGAAGTACGACTCCTCACCTTCATGGCCTGTGTGATGGGCCTCTTGAGCCTACGTGCAGCTCACGTAAAGCTCAGCAGAATGATGTTCTGCCGGATACGCAGACCCGAAGGAGAGTCCTCCGGGAGAATCGGTGGCAGGTGTGGCTGCCGC